ACACACACACACACATCTTTACTTTTTTAGGGGGGGTAATTCGGTTTATTTATGTATTTATTTTTGGAGGATTGAACCCAGGACCTTGTGCGTGTTAAGCATGGGCTCTACCACTTGAGCTGTACCTTCCCCCTGATTTTGTATTAAACAGATTAAATGAGAACTAGATTATTTTGTCTCTTGCTACAACTCAGAGATAGAGAGATGTGTTGAGACCAGGCAGTAGATCTAGCTTTATCACTCCTCGTTGAACCCTTGAACCTGAGGCATAATTCCATGAGGCTGGTTTGACTACAGGCAGAAAGGTGAGTTGACTGGTTGCATCTTCATTTGGGGAAAGGTTTTTCTGAAATTAGATCTATACCTCACCTGATACATAATAATAAATTTAAGATGTACTGAAGATCCAAATTTAAGCATGATTATAAATACTATGTAAGGAAAAAATATGAAAATATCTTCATATTCTTAGTGTGGAAAAGGCTTTGTCAAGCACAGCATTAAACTCAAAAGGCAGAAAGGGAAGAAAATTATAGGTTTGCCGTGTAAAATACAGAACTTCTGTATTATAATTTTCCTTTAAATACTTTTAAAAGGCAAAAAACACTGTACTTGAATAAAATTTTTCCAAAGTAAATAAGAAATCAAAAGCTAAGATTACTAATATGTAAATAATTTCCATTAATTTTTGAGAAAAGAGACCCACATGTTTAACTAGGCTAAAAAAATGAACAATTCATAGGTAACTAAATATAGGAAAATATTCTCAACTTCAGTAGTGATTGATGAAATGCCAAGTACAATTACACTATTTCACTTTTAGTGCATCATAGTGGGGAAAAAACCCCAGTCATTTCCAGTTCTGACAAAAAGTGGACAAAGAGCAGAGCTACATACTCTGGGTAGGGGTCTACGCCGGTGTAAGCTAGAAGGTAATCTGGAAGTCCATAAAATATTTTTTACTTTTAGGTATTTGGAATAAACACTGCAGGAAAAAATGGATTTTAAATTTGCCTTTGGATTGGCACTAAGTTTTCTCAAGGTTTACTGTGTGCTCAAAAGTACGAGTAGAATCTCAGTCCCGAATCTTCATAGTGTCTAGAGCGCTGTCGGGGGCAACGACTTCCACATTTCAATCAGCGGCTGACTTCTGTGCACGCCATCCCCAGGTGTCTCTGTACTCATCACCTGCCCACCACTCCCAGAGCTGGCCTAGGCTCTCATTAATTCTTCTGTAATTACATTCACCATCTTTCCTGCAACTAGGTCCTTTGAGGTCAAGGGAGAGCCAAACAGCTGAACTGTAATCCTTGCCATCAGGGAGCCCTCAGACTAGGAAAGATCTATGAGCAGAGCATCAGTACTCAGTGGCACGAGGACTCCAAGAAAACACACGCAGGCTGGGGAGGGTGTAGCTCAGAGGTAGAGTGCCTGCCTAGCATGCACAAGGTCCGGGGTTTAATCCCCAGTGCCGCTATTAAACATAAACCTAATTACACCCCCCCACAACAACAACAAAAGAAACCATATGCAGGCTGATTTATCTTACACATCCTGATGGGATGAAGTTTCTGGCAAGCACATTTCTGAAAGTTCTGCGTAAGTAATGTCAGTCTTCACAAGCCTTCACGAGGTCCATGCTCCTCTTCACAGAAAGTCCTGACTCGTCAGTGTGACATGCAGGCCTGTCTATAATTTGA